AGTAGAATGGCCAGAAGTGAATTTTAAGCAAGTTTCTGTTATTGACACCCATAAACTTCTGGCGAGAATACCTTGTTGCCTGAAGCCATGATTCTTTCTTCCCCCGAGACTGGATTTTCTGTGCTTCTGCGTTTAGGGGCAGAAGTACTGGTTTTTGCGAAGTCTAGGGGGTCAAACGTCTTAGCGAGACTGTCCTGTCGGATGAAGCTCATGGATCTGTCCTTCCCTCGAGAGCACTTTGTGATTTTTTACTTTTAGAGGCAGAAGTATGGTTTTTTGCAAAGTAGAAGGGCCAGAAGTAAATTATAAGCAAGTTTCAGTATGAATAAACATTGACACCCAGAAAGTTTCAGCGAGAGTATCTTGCTGGCTGAGCTTATTAGTGTTTTCTCCTCGAGACCAAAAGGGCCAGAAGTAAATTTCAAGCAAGTTCTTTTTCAAGTATAATCATTGACACCCAGAAACTTCTGGCGAAAGTCTCTTGCTGCCTGAGGCCATAATTCTTTCTTCCATCGAGACCAACCTCCCTGTCTTTCTGCGTTTAGGGCCAGATATGTGGTTTTTGAGTTTTGTGGTTTTTGCAGTTTGAGAGCCTAAAGTTTCAGTAAAAATGCCGTGCCGGATGAAGCTCATGGGTCTGTCCTTCCCCAGAGACCACTTTTCTGCTTTCAGAGGCAGAAGTATGGTTTTTGCAGAGTGGAAGGGACAGAAGTGAATTTAAGGAAATTCTTGTATAATTAGATATTGACTCGTAGAAATTCTTAGCGAAAATATCGGTACTTTTCCGTTATCCGGACCCATTTCTTCGAAAGGCTCCCATGTGATACTTTCTTTAGTCTAAGAATAATTTTATATAGTTTCTACGAGGACTGCCTCCTTGCCACTGTCACAAACAATTGACACTTTTCGGTTCATTCTGACATGATTTTTTTTCGAAACCATTTCCGGGGAGGTAAAAGAGATTGTAGTCACTTTTGAGCTGTTTAATTGTTTTACATAAAAGCAAAACAATCATGAATTTGTTTTAGATCATCTTGCTTGCTTTCAGTGGTGATTTAATAATGCTTTTCTCTTCAAACCCTTTTGGCCATGCGATTTTAGCCAGAAAAGACTATAAATGAAGCTTAAAGTCCCTTGCTGCCGCTTATTTTGCCTCTTAAATGATTTTATCTCACGCACTTCTCTATTCCGAGCAAGTCTAGTCTGTTCATCGATAAGAGTATGTCGTTATTATTATGACAATGTTCACTTTAAAATGCTTGATCGAAATGAGGTTGAAACTGACTACAAAACAGATTGAACGAAAACTCTTAATAAAACCTGTTAAGCATGTAAATGACATTTCAAATTTTTTTGACACGTGGCAGAAGGTTGGCACTCCTCCCTGTAAAGCTGAGACCAAATATGATACAAGGATGGAAGCAATACTCTTCTTTGAAAAAATGGGTCCAGATAACGGAAAAGTACCGAAATATCTTGCCGCCAGTGGCGGTCGCAGGATTTCGGACCGAGGGGGGCGCGACAAAAATTTTTTTCAAATGAAGGTGCGTGGCGTTAGCCACGCACTCCAAAAAAATTTTTGGGGTTCTTCTCTAAATTTTTGCGGGTCCCCAACCCCTAAAATCTGAAAAAAAAAGGGCGTGGCGTTACCCGAAAAAAATTTTAATTTTTTTATAAAGCTAATTTGAATTTTTAAAAAATTTTAAAAATTATTTCAATTATTTACATAAATAAACAAGTGTTTGCACATTTTTATAACCCATATAGGTAAGTTTCAAAAATTTCGCGACCCATTCTCGGGGGGGGGGGCGTCCCCCCCCCCTCGGTCCGCCACTGCTTGCCGCCTCAGTTTATAAGCATTTTCTTCCCTCGAAACCAGGCTCTATGTGCTTTTCTGATTTTGGGGGCAGAACTAGGATTCAAAAAGGTAAAGGCGGGCCAAAGTGAATTTATAACAACTTTAGGTAAATTTACCGCCTTCGTCATTTCCAAGTGTGATTATAGAATTCTCAGCATGCTCACTTACCCCCGGATTAGTGCCATCTGAGCCTCGTAGCTTCAGCTTTGAAAAAAAGATGAAATCAATAAAAGTAATGGAAATTCTCAAAAACTATCTTTGCAGTGAGCGTGCTCACATACAACTTTGTGCAATGTCAGCCGTGTAGCTCTAATTTTACAAAGAATAGAAAAATCGACAAAAATAATAGGTTCTTCTAAGAACACTTATTACAATCGTAATCGGCATGCTCGCTTTCTCCCATGTGCCAAATCCCAGTTCCTGGCTTAAACTTTGCAAAAAATCGATAAAGCCGGTGAAGGTAAGTGACAAGTTGTAAAATAAGAATGTGCTCGTGAGCAGGCACCAATCCCCAACGCCATAGTTCAAACATTGCAAAAAATCAATTAAACCGATAGAAGTAAGGGGTATTTTCTGAAATGTTATGATATTCGTAATCAGCATGTTCCCTTACCCCCGTACGCCAACTCCCAGTCACGTAGTTCAATATCTGCAGAAAAATTGATAGAATGATAAAAGTAATGGGTATTTATGAAAATGGTTATCATATTCGTAATCAGCATGCTAGATTACCCCCGCGTGCCAAACCCCAGCCCCGTAGCTTGAACCATGCAAAAAAATCGATAAAATGATACAAAAAACTGATAATTCTAAAAGCTATATTGTATTTGTAATCAGCATGTTCGCTTGTCCTCCTGTGCCAACTCCCAGCCCCGTAGCTTGAACTTTGCCAAAAAATCGATAAAATGATAAAAATAACTGATAATTCTAAAAACTAATACTGTATTCGTAATCAGCATGCTCGATTACCCCCGTGTGCCAACTCCCAGCCCCATAGCCTGAACTTTGCCAAAAAATCGATAAAATGATAAATAACTGATAATTCTAAAAACTAATACTGTATTCGTAATCAGCATGCTCGATTACCCCCGTGTGCCAACTCCTAGCTCCGTAGCTTGAACTTTGCAAAAAAATCGATAAAATGATAAAAATAACTGATAATTCTAAAAAATAATACTGTATTCGTAATCAGCATGTTCGCTTACCCCCGTGTGCCAACTCCCAACCCCGTAGTCCAAATTTTGCAAACAAATCGATAAAATGATAAAAGTAATGGACATTTTTGAAAATGGTTATCATATTCGCAATCAGCATGCTCGATTACCCCCGTGTGCCAACTCCCAGCCCCATAGCCTGAACTTTGCCAAAAAATTGATAAAATGATAAAAATTACTGATAATTCTAAAAACTAATACTGTATTCGTAAACAGCATGCTCGATTACCCCCGTGTGCCAACTCCTAGCCCTGTGGCTTGAACTTTGCCAAAAAATTGATAAAATGATAAAAATAACTGATAATTCTAAAAACTAATACTGTATTCGTAATCAGCATGCTCGATTACCCCCGTGTGCCAACTCCTAGCTCCGTAGCTTGAACTTTGCAAAAAAATCGATAAAATGATAAAAATAACTAATAATTCTAAAAAATAATACTGTATTCGTAATCAGCATGCTCGATTACCCCCGTGTGCCAACTCCTAGCTCCGTAGCTTGAACTTTGCAAAAAATCGATAAAATGATAAAAATAACTGATAATTCTAAAAACCAGTATTGTATTCGTAATCAGCATGTTCGCTTACCCCCGTGTGCCAACTCCCAACCCCGTAGTCCAAAATTTACAAACAAATCGATAAAATGATAAAAGTAATGGACATTTTTGAAAAATGGTTATCATATTCGCAATCAGCATGCTCGATTACCCCCGTGTGCCAACTCCCAGCCCCATAGCCTGAACTTTGCCAAAAAATTGATAAAATGATGAAAATTACTGATAATTCTAAAAACTAATACTGTATTCGTAAACAGCATGCTCGATTACCCCCGTGTGCCAACTCCTAGCCCTGTGGCTTGAACTTTGCCAAAAAATCGATAAAATGATAAAAATAACTGATAATTCTAAAAACTAATACTGTATTCGTAATCAGCATGCTCGATTACCCCCGTGTGCCAACTCCTAGCCCTGTGGCTTGAACTTTGCCAAAAAATCGATAAAATGATAAAAATAACTGATAATTCTAAAAATCTAATACTGTATTCGTAATCAGCATGCTCGATTACCCCCGTGTGCCAACTCCCAGCCCCGTAGCTTGAACTTTGCCAGAAAATCGATTTTGAAAATAGTTATCATATTCGTAATCAGCATGCTCGATTACCCCCGTATGCCAATTCCCAGCCCCATAGCTTGAACTTTGCTAGAAAATCGATAAAATGATAAAAGTAATGGGCATTTTTGATAATGGTTATCAAATTCGTAATCAGCAAGCTCGATTACCCCCGTGTGCCAACTTCCAGCCCCGTAGCTTGAACTTTCCCAAAAAATCGATAAAATGATGAAAGTAATGGCCATTTTTGAAAATGGTTATCATATTCGTAATCAGCATGTTCGATTAATCCCCTGTGCCAACTCCCAGCCCCGTAGTTCAAAATTTACAAATAATCGATAAATTTGGTAGAAGTAATAACAAGCTTCCATGCTGGAAAATGACAAACACGAAAATACCATCGAGGACCTACAGACAGCATCAACAAGCATGCTTATCCACCAGCGTACAGACAAGCCACCAGTGTACAGACAAAATCCCATTCGGTTTTATATATATAGAAGGATTCTGTTCACGCGAGATAATTTATCTTGTGTATTTATTTCGACTAGCACATTGGTTACTTTCTTGGAAGTCATTCTTCAAGCAAAAGTATTACATATTCGAAATCAATTCGATCTATCTAGATGGCTGCTTAGTTCTAGCAAAATCCAGGCTTTCTAGCTTTGGCTGATGTCACAATAAAGGTAATTTAATAAGCAGCCCTATTAGGAGCCGGTAAAATCAAGATCACAAGTGTTTCATGAGTAATTTTGACCCCACTCTCGGCACTACCATCCCGATCTATTACCCTGTATCTATTTTTATCTTTGTCGTTGCAGCCGCGTTTACGAGGTATGTCCGTAACTCGGCGAGCTAGCGGTGAAGCGAACGAGAACGATATTATGATCGAGTTGGATGATGCTCCTCCTCTAGCAGCACCTTTCGTGAGTATTTTGCGTGCGTACAAAAAAAGGATTAGTAATATTAAAAAACTACTGTGCGGGTTTGTGGCGGAGATTTGGGAGCAGTACGTAGAAATCCGTACTACGCAGAGTTAACGTTATTTCAGAAAGTGGAAGCCAAAATTACAAGATACTTTTGCTCTCACTAGGTTCAGATTGTTATTTGTCAAGCTGTTCACAAATATTATGCTCTTTTTGTTTTCGGCATTCTTGTGGGGCTACGTTAGTTATACGGTGAAGGGTCAAAATCGCCATTTGGCTGAGAATCGCAGAGGTTGGGGCTTCATCGCAGCGTTACGTTAGGTATAGAATAGTGGGTCAAAATCGCATATTCGCCTGGAACTTTGCGGGTTTTGACTTGATAGTTACGATTACCTTATTTCACGCGATGAGGCCTTTTCTATAATTTTCTGAAGTAAATCGGCTAAAAATCAGAGAAGGGGGGTTGTTTTTTTTTTCAAATTACTGTAACCTACCATAACTCCATAATAAAGGTGTGATTGCCACGGACGAGCATTAATTTTAATTCTCATCCACCTGTTTCCTCCCCCACCAGCGTAGTCAGCGAATGTGACCCCCACTCTCCCCCCCCCTTCCCCCTCCCTTCCAGTATACCTACCGTAGCCTCATCGTGTAACACTTTTAAGCAGAAGGAGAATAGTGTTTGTGGTTGGCATGTTGAGTAATAATTTCTATGACCATAATTCAACCTGCGTTGTTGACACTTCACCGTATACCTAATTCAACGAAAAGCCTCATCACTCCAAACAAGTACGTTATCCAGTGAACAGCATGTCGAATAAGCCCACTGACCCAAATTGTAGTAAAAGATATGGTTTTGAATTTCTGGTGCCCCTTGAAATAGCGTTGAGCCCTGTCAAGCAATTTTTGCCTTATTGAAACAAAGAATAACTTTTCTCAATTTTTTTTCAGATGTAATAAGAGAAAAATGATCGTAATCATAAAGAGTCACAATAAACTTCTGCAACCTGCAGTTACTGCGTTGAAACCAAAATGCTTTATTACAAAAGTACCAAAATGCTTTATTACAAAAGTTTTTTATAGATTGAAATTGTTGAAAAATGAGAAACTTCTAAGAACATCAAAAAGCGGTAAAGGACTGGACACGTTTTACTGTGATTTTCATTCACACGCATTGATCAGAAGATATCTTCTAAAACTTATCAACATGCGTTCCGATATCGAGCTCGTTTTTCACTCACTATACGCAAATCAGACATTTTTTACCACTAGTCAAAGCAACTACCCCCTTGACAAACTTTTACACCCCTTCAAAGTGGTTTCCATATCCACTAGAGCTTTTCGGTCATCACATTTCAAAACTAGTTTTTGGAAGAGCGCTCATTGCTATTGTGAGGAATCTGAGTGCCCCGAAACAAAGAAGGTGTGTTTTGCTTCTTGTGGCAGTCTACCGAGCACATGTCCATGAAGATCAAGCTGTACATAGGAATAACAAACAATGTTTTGCAATATTCAAGGAATTTTCTTGATTACAGAAATCTGCAGACCCGACCTGCTGTTCCCCCCCTCAGTCATATATTGCAGGCAAGCAGACGTCCGTTCGTGCTAGACGCGCATTCGAGGAGGCTGTCGAGAGACAAAATCTCGAATAGTTTGAAAAGATTACCTCCAACACCTCCTGTGAGAACTGATAGCAATAAGTAAGTTCTACATATATTTCCCCTCCCTTCTTCCACAGCATTAAGTGAGTTCTGTCCCCCCCCCCTCCTTTTTTCTTGTAGTGTTTCGATCCCCAAAATAAATCCCTGGCATGCATTTGAAATTTAAGGTTCATCACTTCAATAAAAAAAAATACACTCTATCATTAAGTGCCTTATACTCTCTTGTGTTCTCATAAACTTGCAAGAAACTTTCGCTCAATTTCCAGAAAATCTCCGTGAAAACTTGATGCAAATCAAGTAGTGCCAACTCGTAAGTAACTTTCAAAGACAAGTTCTTGTACGAAAACGAATATGTTTGTGTTACGCTGAAACTTTTTGCATCAAGAAGAAGTATATCAAAACTAAAGCAGTTATTTCAAAAAGAAATTGTTCGCGTGCCAATTCTAAAATATTTAGCTCACCTCAAGGCAAGACAGAAAACCGCCCAATATCAAATGATTCCGTATCCTCGTTACCGTCACCTTCAAATTCTCCAAGTGCTGATGTTCACAAGAGTTTTTCAGTTGGTGAAAAGCTGAGATCGATATTTGCTGGTAGATGGGTAGGTCTCGCTTGACAGTGTTTTTTTTTCAGCTCCAAATTTATCTCTATTCTAGCATACGGATGCCGAGCTTGCACCTAGCAAACGGCCACTAGAGTACAAGAAGAGCAGTGGTGAGGTAAGCGAGGTTATTGCAGAAGGTGTAATCGCTTTTGAAGCTCCAGAGTTCAGCTAGATAGGAGGTGCAACATTATGTTGTTTCGTAGTTCCTACACCAAAATTTCCAAAAAGTCTGAGTATCCGTTTTACCAACAAATTTCTTCATCAGCATAGCAGAAGAAAATTATGTGAGTTCTAATAGTGCTCGAAGTTTCATTTTTCCATACCACTGTGAAACGAGCTGATGAAAGAAAACATTAAGATCGTATTTTCCAACTTTTGGTCTCTATTTGGTTTTGTTTATGGCATGCTCTCTTCAACTGCTAGAAATTTAGGTGCTTAATTGTTCCAACTAATAGTTTTTTGGTAGTTCACTGGCCATAAACAGACCAAGCCAAATTCAGAACCACACCTCACCAGTTGAAAGGTTTAGGTGGATTACCTTAAACTCGGGAATAAACCCGATACGAAATTGAACATTCAATATACGTCTTCAGCAATGATGCAAAATTCTCATAAAGGTGCAGATTTGATTATTTATTCTATCCCCGTATTTGCCCTGCTTATGCAGTGTCCGCTTTTCTTGTCAGTTTTCTCCATGTTCTTCTTGATGAGACAAGATCTTCATCTATTCCAAGTATACGCAGGTCGCCTTGATTCTGTCCATCTACCTTCTCTCGAGTCTACCCCTGGATCTTTTACCTGCTGCATCTACCGTGAAGGCTAACTTCTTGATGCTCTCCCCCTTCTTCACACATGCTCGCGCCACCGTCTTCTTTTCCTGCATTTCTGGGCAATTGGAGCTACTTTCATCTTGGCTCGAATAGTGTCATTGCGGATGTTGTCCCTTAGTGTGCACTGAGTTTGCGCTCCTCGTTCCGCTTACATAGCCAGCATTCACTACCATAGAGTGCTGCTGAAGGGATAATGGTCCTGTACAGTTGGGGCTTTAGGTGTATTGGCATTCATCTGTCGCACAGAATGCACGTTACGGTTTTCCATGTTATCCACGCTGTGTTCCCCTGCTTGCGAATTCCTCTTGTAGGCTTCCTTCCGCTGAGATGTGACTGCCTAGGTACTTGTATGATGTGTTCTTTTTATGCTCTTCGCTAATTCTGCTTAAAGGAGCAGGATAAATTGCTAATATTGTTAACCAATCAATCAACTAAGCACACTTGGAAGACCTAGGGTTAAGTCAATTTGTTTACACATTTAGGCGCACTTTAAGCATTAATGACAGAAAATAACAACAGTGCCAAAAAATGATGGAAAGAGCTCACAAAAACTTGTCGAAAATATCTGAAAGAAGCGCATAAATGCTGGTGAAGATTACACTGGCTCAAGCGAATGACATTTTGCATAAAGCGCATGGAATACAAGATATTCCTCGCACCGTGGGGCATCGGATGGCTTGGCGATCTAAGCATCGGGAACAGTTTTTTGTTGATTTTCCGCCTCCCAATCGCAACATTCTGTAATAGATCACTTAACAAGATAAGGCTACATGAGAAATCGTAGTTCCTTGAGAAATTTTGAAAATAATAACATTGAAAAAATGAATATCCCAATACTTGGATTGTTGTTCTAACTCCGTTTGAAGTAGCAAATGTGGTGACCATATGGTAGATCATTCCAATATACAGTTGAAGGCTTTCACTTCCAAATTAACATCCATGCTTCAAAAGTTTCTGATAATTATCTTTCAAAATAACGAAAGGAAACATGCCTTCTTCAATGTGCATAAACCTAAATATCAACCAGGCTCAAATCCTTAGATTTGAAAATTCCAGTGTCTTAGTTCTATTTTTGTGTTAGCTGCGGTCATTAAAAAGTGGTTGTGCATGATTTGAACTGCTCGTGGGGTTCGGGTATAAAGCTTCTGCGGATTGGTTTTTGGAATATGCAAATTCATTTCTAAAATCAAATTCCAAGTCTCATACCACCATTATCCATGTTGCTTGTACATCGAACCTAAAATCCTTTTCAGGAAAACCATGTGCAGAGTAGGCCCGCGACGTCTCCTATCGCGGCGGATCAAAAAATGTCCGTGGACGAAGGTAAAACTTTGCTTGGATCCTCTTCACAACGACTAGATTCTTTACAGTATATACTCAAAACAACATTAGTCAAGAAAATTAAGGGCATAGAGGACATTATACTCGCCACTATTATCACTGAAAATACAGCTAAAATTTTACTAGAAGCAGCTTCGATAGAGCCGAATAATTTTGCCGATGGTAAGCAGACCATAGCAGCGCCAAGACAAGATTTTTATACTTTTAGCGTCCTAGCTCTTTCTTACTATGGAAACGATTGTGTTATTACTTTTTCCGAATCTGCGGGTCTGACAGCTGTTAGTGGGTTAGACCGGGGGGGGGGGGGGGGGGGAAGAATCAAGCTTGACACTAAAAGGCTGTAGCGTTACGTCTATGTAAATTTGAGCTATCTATACGATCGAGAAATACAAATTGGTTTATTTATTCAATACGCACAAGGCATGCCACATCTAGAACAATCAACGAAGGTACTTTGTAGAAGAGTAAGGGATCAAGCCTGTATAGACCACGTATGAATTCAAAGGAATAGGTAGAAAGGAAAGGCGATCTAGAAAGATCGCCTTGCCTGGCAAGCAGAGAATGGGACAGACTCCATCGAGACTCTACACTTATTACACCAAGTACTGATTCCATACATGGCCCATTCAAGCATAGTCCCCAACCCTTCTTCAAAAAAAAGCTATGTGGCGACTGTACTCGATCAGACTTGTTGGATGTTTTTTGGTTTTTTTTATTTGTTGCTGATGCTTGAGTGCTTATGTATTGTTCTAAATATGGAAATGAAGTGAAATTTTGAAGAGAAAGTATTGCTCAAGTGCGCGTTTACCGACGGTTCTAGGTATCTTTTCTGTTCTAGAGTGCCTGTTTTTTCTTTAGATCCTCATAAAACGTATCCTCCAATCTTACAATTTATTTGCCCCGAAACAAAGCTCTAAATGTACTAAAAAACACCAAGATTTGCTGTTTAGTTTTCCGTTCGCCGTGGCCTAGTAGCAAACCTACGCGTTTACCGCCACTGAGAAATCTTAGAAGACGTGCAGCAAGTGAAGGAAGACGAAGATCTGGACAAGAGCCTTTGACATAAAATTCAGTCCGTTAATATTGGCTGTATCTGATACTCATATATTCTTTATGCTATAGAGATAATAAATTCTAATAGTTTTCGACTGTAAATGTGGAAGCACTTCATCAATAAGAAGAAAATGGCAGAAGCAACGTTGCTATACAAGCTTAAACAATTACAGAGCATGGACTTTTCTTATCGGTTGATGGTAGCTGGAAAAACATCAATCAGAAGAGTATTGGAACGAAAAAGCCGGGCACTGCTATAGTGACCTGGCCTATTTTTGTTTTAGTACGTGCGCTCCTCAACCATAGGCCAGGCAAAGATGAGGTGCAACTGCGGACCCCTCGACACCCCCTCAAATCATGCATTAATTTTATTTCTCTAACCTTTCGGTGCCTCTCCAAGCATAAATTGTCTTGATCGGCTACCCATACTAGAAACCGGGAACGGGTGGTGCAATGGTTGAGGCGCCGTTTGCCGATTGGCTAAGGTTCGATCTTCCCCTGGGCCAATCAAGCTCTGAGGATGGTGGTACCAGAACGGGGGAGACGGTCAAGAGGCGCGATTTCTCCGGCTGGCACCAACTTGAAACTCCAGTTTAGTGCTATGCGAGTCTTTAAAAATCCTCGGATAAAGTGCATTGGCTTACTATCTGTCTAAGGTCAGCACTTGCTGAGTTTCATGGTTTTTGCTATAAATCGGACTGAAATACTTACAAATTTGTTCTGAAACGCATTTTCATGAGTTTTTGATCTTCAAAATTACTGTTTTGAATTGATTCCAAGTTAGTAAGGTTGAGCAACTCATGCAATTACCTAATATATCTCCTTCTAAGTTTGAATACTTCTAGAATGTTCTAAAACACTCATTATGTGCTACTCGGTATCCAGCTGGCAATAAAAATCGCTCCTCTTGACATACACCCCCAGAACGGTCTGGTGAATTGAAGCACTGACTCGGTAATCGGCTGGCCTCGGCCAGTCATTTGTAAGGGCTCGCGTGCAATATCTCTTCGGCCATGAACTGTACCCTAAAATCCGTAATAAGTCCGCCTATCAGATAAGTCCGCAGCAGACTAGCAGATAAGTCCGCTTTCTTGACAACGAAAGTCGCCCTCGCGCCGCCAAGAATCCTGCAGAAAAGTCCGCTTTCTCATGCTCAGGATAGGCGAACTTATCTGCTGCGGACTTATCTGATAGAGGATTTAGGAGGACTTATCTGCAAGACTTTTGGTGGCGCAGAGGACGGTTTTCCATCGATTTTTCGTGTCAATACTGCAGATAAATCCGGTCTTATTGTACGGACTTTAGGGTAAATGCGTTTGACGGATGACTTAGAGAGAGTTGAAGAGTTCTTTATTCTCTATCCTTATTTATTTTAGAATGCAATCTAGCTCCTTATCGCTGTAAATCTTTTCGCAATGAATTTCGAAAGTGATGTAATTGGTAAAGAACTGGGTGTAAAGAAGGGTTCCCGTACCGATCTCCCGGTGAACTTACCGCGGACATTGCTGGCGAAAATCAAAGCACTAACGCACATTCTTTTAGCGAAGAAGGAGGGTCCATCTATTCCTGGAAAGCTACCTGGAAGCAAGGTCGTTAAGGATAAACGAAATGGTATGGATATGGATAAGCGAAAACTTGTATTCAAGTTCAGTTTTAGCAAAACAGATACTGTCTCTAGAGGGTCTCTACATGATTGCTCCTTCAGATATACTTAATTAGCTACTTCACTTCTTGTATAGCTAAGAGCTATCAACAGCCAACGCTAACTCCACGAAATTGCGGAAGAAAGCTTCCCCTTGCACTTGAGCTGCTTCGAGCAACTTTGCGCTTCTTCCCGATGGAACGACAAGTTTTGCTACATTTAATTGCGTTCTCCAGTCTTCTAGGCTAGGTATCATCTCCACGTAAAAAACGATCGTGCGTACCGGAACTTCGGATCGCAGTCTTCCCCCAATTAAACTGGTGCGGTTCCATTACAGCTGCACACATTAAAGGAAAACACAAACCCCGTCAGCTACTATAACCATCTACGAATTTTGAGGTGATGCTGTGATTAATGCAAGCTACAGGCAATGGCGTACCCAGGATTTCGGCTCGGGGGGGGGGCGGCAAAAAATTTTTTCAAATGAAGGTGCATGGCGTTAGCCATGCACTCCGAAAAATTTTTAGGGATGCCTATAAAATTTTTTGTGGCCCCCGAAGCCCTGAAATCTGGAAAAAGGGGGCGTGGCGTCAGCCACGCCCCCGGAAAAAAATTTTTTGTGAGGCTAATTTGATTTTTTAAAAAAATTTTAAAAGTTATTTTAATTGTTCACAAAAATAAACAATTCACTTGCACATTTTTTTAGCTCATGTAAGTAACTTTCAAAAATTTCGCGACCCGCACTGGCTACAGGTTATATCACTATAATTAACTTTATTTGCTGGGCCATGCAAGACTTGCCGCTATAAGGGCAAACGTAAGAATCTCTTGATTCAAACGTACACGCAGTGCAATAAAAGGTGAAGTAGAGAAAAGCTTCTGACTTTGTTTACTATCAAGGAGTTTTTCTTCGAACGCTTCCAAATCTTCCATAAAAGCCATAAATCCTGAATTTTGAGAAGATGTCCAACTAATAAACTTATCATAAATGTGCATCTTGACAGCACCATCTGTTCCGAAATGGGTGATTGGGGTTACACTGCTTTTCTACAGGATTTTCTACAAAACCAACCTCTTAACAGTAGGATTACCAAGTTCTGAACATAAACTTCACAGAGTCGGCTGCGTAAACGAAAATTCATACATAATGGCTTGGCATGGGCTATGGTCAAGCCAGGTTGCTTATGGTTTCATTCCTAAATAGGGAAGCAAATTTGTATGCAAAAAAAACTGAAAAAATGGCGAAGGTTTCACAGAAATGCAAAAGAAAAAACATAGAACGTCACTGTAGTTAGATATAATATCGAAGCACGGAGTTTGTTTTGGTAGCACTCTGAATCTATCGAAGCTCTTTGTTAAAATTTCAAAAATTAGGTATACGTTGCTCTAAGTCAGTTGCTCTTTAATGTCAAGCTTTCAGTACAGCAAGAGAATTTCTGTAAATCTTAAAGGTTTCATTGTTTGGATGCAATCCACGACAAAGTCGCGGAATTCTCAACGCTCAATTGAAAAAATTATGGACTGATGCCAAATGCGACTGAGGTACACCTCTGGTTTAGCATACTTCTCACTAATGCTCAATTTTCAGAATGAGAAAACAAACTTATTTCCAGCCGCTTGTTCACATTTTTGTGTGCATCTCATAGAAATGTGTTTACCACATGTGAAAAAAGATCTATAGACAGCTCGTTATACCATATGACTCTTAGCTCCCTATGTATCACTTTGGCTGAAACCGGTTAAGCAGCTGATAGCAGTTTGAAAATTTATCGATGTTTTTGTCCTCGGTGGAGAGGCCCTTTCAGATTAGGACAGCTTATCTGATATTGAACTATCAATGGTAAGTGCAGTATGTTTGTAGGGGCAAGCATTATTTTGATTCTTTCTAGTGCGCACATTGGTATCTGATACGAACTGAGCAGATCGAGGTTAATCCGAGAAGAAAAAAACGCCTGAACTAATCGGGAGTTTAAGCATAATCCGCTCTGTAGAAATGATGGCCAATATTACAGTTCGCCGGCCATCAAACGCTGTTCAGTAGGTCATAAATGTGGATAAGTGACGCTGAATGGTTCCACTTCCTGTCCGCTCGGATTTGTCTCGTCTTAATCTCCGCAGCCGCGGCAGCGGAATACCGCCGCCATGCACGGAATGACGCCTCACCCTCGGATGTCAAACTCGTCGGCCAATTTTTCTTACGGATGAGGGTCAGCAGCAATTAGCCAAATAATAAGAAATGCTAAGATAGGAGACGGGCAGTCTTTGTTCTTTCCACGACTCTGAATAATATATCGCCGAGTCATCTGTAAATCAATACGCAAGTTGCAACCGTGCGCGCAACCTGACGGCTTGTAAGACTGAAACCCGCTTATTCCCAGCGAATCCTTCATTACTCGTCTATTTTGATTTAGTAGTATGCGTATTCATCAGTATTATACTTTCTATAGCTTTTTTACGCCAGAAAAGATTGATGAGAAGTCAGCAGCAAGGATGTCGTCAGTTGCTGCGCCTAATGTGCAGGACATATATTGAGTTACAAATGCTCGAGAATGGATCTAAACCAATAAAAAAGCACAGAGCGAGTACCTGCACGAGTAAGTTCATTAGCTTCTTGGCCTAAATTTCTGGCACGTTTGCTGCACACCTTAATGAGGTCGTGTTAGTAGCTCGTCTCAACAACTGGTTTGAATATGTTAGGGCCTGAGAAAAAGAGGTAGCCGAATCGGAGGGCTCTGGAATACAGAAATGGTTCTAAAAATTACCATCAACTATCGCAAGAAGTCAAAGTAGCAGATATTTACTCTACAAAATTCTAAGCTTGTGCAGAGGATTGTGACTGTCTCAAATGCAGTTGCATGGAAGTTTGAATACCTAAGTTTCTTACATAAATACTTCATACATAAAATATAAAGGCCATATTCAACCCATAACTGAAACCACACATTATGTTATCCATTCGACAGGGAAATCCTTCTGAACTCCAGTTCAAACTACTTTTTGAAGGCGCTGACTGCTTTGCTTGGAAAGAGAAAGAAACTGGCCCACTTTCAACTCTTTCTTACTTGGCATTGTTAATAGCTGATAGGCCTAGAAATATATTTGATTGGCACAGGTTTCCAAGTTTTCGCCTTCGGCAGAGCGTGGAATTTGAAATTGTAAATGTCCATTAACAAGACAGCAAAGTTTCTAGCACAGAATTCTAGAATGATTCCTTAGTCTTTTTCTCACCGAAATTCTTATAACTTCGGCTCCAGGCCTGACAAGGATGAAAGTGCCGAGACATTGGCCAGTAACGTTGCACTGCACTCTTAAATCTACGCTCAGTCGACCGACCATAAAGTTCCAACTAAAGGCTTAGCTTCTCATATCTA